GGTACAATTTCTAAGAAGTATAATTGAATGATTTTACTTGTATTACCATTACAAATTTCATTTACATAAGCTGGAGTAGAGAATATACTACTAAATATCAGCTCATGGAAATTTTTTTTCTTTTGAGATGGAGTTTCGCTCTTGTTGCCCAGGCTGGAGTGCAATGGTGTGATCTCGGCTCACCACAACTTCTGCCTCCTGGGTTCAAGCTATTCTACTGCATCTGCCTCCAGAGTAGCTAGTATTACAAGCATGCACGACCACATCCAGCTCATTTTGTATTTTTTGTAGAGACGAGGTTTCACATGTTGGTCAGGCTGGTCTCAAACATCCGACCTCAGGTGATCTGCCCACCTCGGCCCCCCAGAGTGCTGGGATTACAGGGGACAGCTACTGCACCTGGCTGGAAATGCTTTTTTTTTTTTTTTTTTTACCTGTAATCTTCTCTTTTATTTACTCATCAATTGAAGAAATAGTTATTGAGTGCTTATAATAGACACATATTCACCTCCCAACGATATTGCCAAATACTCTAACAGTGCTACTTTTCTTTTACTTTGGTCACAACTGATTGCTTCCAAGACAGAGAACATGACCCCAATTAGAACTATTACATTCACTCTCCCCTAAAACACAGACATAGAAAGTAGTTGGTGCTATTCTGGTTTCTAGTTTCCTTGAACATCAGCATTTTTGCTCTTCTTTAAATTCTATAAACCTCACCAATATCCATCCAGTAAAGCTTATAACCACAGTTTTTGTTATGTTAGAGTTTGTTTCTGTTGCTGGCAACTAAAAGGATATTATTTATCATGTGCTAGGCAATGGGTATATTACAGGTGAGTAACAATGTGTATGTTAAGAGAATAACAAAAATGATGCAATTTGGTGAAGACAAGTATAGTAAAAATTGCAAAAACACAAGATACTTAATTGCTAAGCCAAAAATAAATCCTAGGTTCCATTGGAGATATCCAATAGACTTTTAACCCAGCCTTATTTCGCAAAGTACAAGGGTGCAGGAAAACTAACTTTCTCTATTTTTCTTCATTTCTCACCTGGAATGTCACTCCATTTTAAATGGCAGGTCTAATTTTCTCAGCATGGTTGATGTCTTCACCATCACAGGGTTACCCTGAGGGAGCCCAAGCCCACTCAGGAGAACGTGTACCATAGAAAAGTGCTTTTCAACCCCATCAGTCCAGGCTATGCTCTTTTTAAATAACAAAATCTGACTGGGTGTGGTGGCTCAAGCCTGTAATTCCAGCACTTTGAGAGGTCAAGGTTAGCGGATCATTTGAGATCAGGAGTTTGAGATCAGCCTGGCCAACATGGTGAAACCCTGTCTCTACTAAAAATACAAAAATTAGCTGGGCATGGTGGCAGATGCCTATAATCCCAGCTAATCGGAAGGCTGAGACAGGAAAATCACTTGAACCTGAGAGGAGGTGGTTGCAGTGAGCCAAGATCATGCCACTGCACCCCAGCCTGGATGACAGAGCGAGACTCCATTACAGAAATAAATAAATAAATAAATTCATTTTGTAATCACTCCTTTAGTATCCAGAAATATTTTTTATAGCTAATAAAACTCACATTTGTAGAAATTTTAAAACTGAAATCCATAATGACTTGTGATATAAAAAAGGGACAAGAATAAAGAATTCAAAATGAAATAAAATGGATTTTGATATAAATATGATCAGGCATGACTGCAGTAGAGCACAGTAAACTAATTTGATGTTTACATCTTTATGTAGAATCAAGGTGAATATGACAGCTAAAAATGCAGAATTATCATATCTATTTTAATGGCCACTAAAATACTACAAGCAGCTTTTCCATTGATGATGTGAGTGTCTAAGGTCATGAAAGGGCTTCATACCAACTAAACAAAGCAAAGTAAAATTTCCCTTTAATTTTTTTTTTTTTTTTTTTTGAGACAGAGTTTCGGTCTTGTTACCCAGGCTGGAGCGCGATCTCGGCTCACCGCAACCTCCGCCTCCCGGGTTCAGGCAATTCTCCTGCCTCAGCCTCCTGAGTAGCTGGGATTACAGGCACGCACCACCATGCCCAGCTAATTTTTTGTATTTTTAGTGGAGACAGGGTTTCACCATGTTGACCAGGATGGTCTCGATCTCTTGACCTCGTGATCCACCCGCCTCGGCCTCCCAAAGTGCTGGGATTGCAGGCTTGAGCCACCGCGCCCGGCAAATTTCCCCTTAATTTATAAACTTTTTTCATTCCTGAAAAGCAACACATTTATTAAAATCATGTAAAAATACTCTGGTTTATCTGTGAAACAGTGTTTGATTCTAGGCTTAGATGATTTTAAACAGAGTTTCTACCTACATAAATGTCTAATAGGACATTAGAAATAGGTGAGGGACACATGAAAAGTTTTATGTACAGAACTGTAATATGTATTACAGAAGGTCTAGCATCCGGTGACTACACCAATAAATGACAACAAACTCCATGGACCAAAATTATTATGGTAGACAAAATCATCTCCACCGATTTCTATAATGTTCCCTGGGGAATAGGGCCACCTTCATTGAGAACCATGGTCAGAGGCTTTAAAGACTGGCTATTTGGTAAAAGTATTTAACAAACATTTTCATTTTGTCCTTAATAATTTTTATTCTACCTCATATAGAAAGAAATAGAAAATTGGTTCATAGGAGGTAGAGATAACATGAAATAATAAAGCGACATTTATTTCAAGTAGTGCTTCGATACAAACAAGACAGTTGAAGAGATTAGAGTTGGAGAAAAATAGCCCTAAATTTTACATGCATAAAGTGAAAACAAATAATGCAGATTGTACAAATACTGAGCTAATCTCTTTGGGTCCATGTGTTATTGGTGGTGAGTCCACGTGGGCTCCATAGTTCTTGATCCTTATCTTCTTGTGAGAAAGAATTTGGCCAGGGGACTGAAGTAGATTTAAGACAGAAATGAGAGTTTATTGAAGCAAAGGAAAGTACACTTGGAAGGAATCAAGTAGGCAACTCTAAAGATTGAGTGCCCTGCCCAACCTTTGGCTCAGGGTCCTTATAGATTTACTATTTCTTTCTTTCTTTTTTTTTTCCCGAGACTCTTCCCTTTGCTGCATGTGCAGTGACTTGCCAATGTCTAGGTGGGACCATATATGCCATTTGGTGATGGAACTTATGTGTGTGTTGTCTTATGGCAATTTTCCCTTACTGGTCTAGCGCCCCCAGAGGGAGGTCATATACCAGTCAAACTCGGCCATTTTGGCCCTTACCGTGTGTGCCTGGACATGTCTGCAGAGGGAGGTCAAACCTCAGTATTTTATGTTGATATTGGGATGTTGTTGCTCACAAGCTCAAGATATCTCCTATTTGTTTGGAAATTTTCCCCTCCCTGTCACCAGCTGCCTGACAATCTTCTGATAGGCACCTGACAGTTACTTGACATTCTCTGGGGCTCTGTCCTGCCCTCCTCAAATCTGCTATCTACCTCCTCTAACACCTGCTATATAAAAATACCAGGGAAAAAGATTTGGAGCAGAGACAGAACGGAGCTGACCATGGGCCATAGGTAACCAGAAAACATTTTGTTTGGCTCACATATAGTTTTAAAAAATAATAATAACCAACTTTATCCAATCAGAAGATTTATCACACTCCCAAAGATTGAATTTCTTGATTCTTTTGATACGTTAAAGACTGTAGATTAATAACCACATGGCAACAGCATGATGGATCAGAGCGGCAGCTGCTTTCTTCACAGGGAACACGCATGCTACCTCAGGCACATTGCAATCTTTACCCTGTTTCCCCCACCCTATCAAAGATTTGCGTTTTTCAACATCTTGTCTATACTCTTCATGAACATAAAGAAGTGAAGTTCATTTCAATAAGCTGTAGACATTTTGACCAGAGGCAGCGTTGGAAGAGCTTCAGGATTTCATTAGTTTTCACTTGTATAATTAATTTTAGGTCACTGGGATACTGTATGTGTGAAACAACAAGTTTTGCATTGAAATGGTAGGAGAAATGATAAAATTGGTTATTCTCTTTACATACAGATAAAAGAAACTGGAAGGTCTGTAACTACCACTAATATTTTGAGCCTAAATGAAGGGAACAACGAAAACGTTATGAAGGAAACTTGAGTATCAAGAGGGATTGCTGGCTTAGGAGGAAAGAATTCATGTTCACTTACTCTGAGGAGTTGTTGAAAATATCGTAATCTTTCCATGAAAGAATTGGCAGGTGCAAATCAGGATGGTCATTTAAACGACAGAATTGAGTACCACTAGAAATAGGATACGTTTTGGATAATGCCTTGATTTAATGGAAAAAACAAAAAGATAACTGTAAATAATGAATCTGGGTGAAACAAGGATCAATATAGAGGAGGATCGTGGAAGGCAACAATGAATTTCAAATATTCGGTAGAATGAGATATTACAGAGTCCTCAAGGAGAATGGATGGGCACAAAGATGAGGATGAGTGAGAAGTGTCTAGTCACTCATGGGCTGCAGTTTACATGGAATACTCTATAAATTGTCATAAATGACAAGAAGTGGCCTAAGGAGAACTTGAGAAAGTGAAGACTATTAGTTTTATACTTTTAAGAATTAGAGGTTAAAAGAAAATGGTGACTTAGGGCAATAATTTTAGGTAGAAGGTTTCAGGGAAATACTTTATAGAATTCTGGAGACCCAAGTATGTTTATAAAACAGCGAGATATAATCAATAAATAGGGGGAGACTGAATGTATGATGAAGAAAATAAAGGAACCAAGGTCTAAGAGGTTCAAGGAAAGCCAAGAACACTTTTAAGTATTTACTCTTGTCAAGAAAACATTATTAAAAATATGTTGGGCCAGGTGTGGTTGTTCATATCTGTAATCGCAACATTTTAGAAGGCTGAGGCAGGAAGATCACTTGAGTTCAGGAATTCGAAAACAGCCTGGGAAACGTAGGGAGAGCTTATCTCTACTAACAATCAAACAAATTAACTAGACATGGTGGCACTCACTGGTAGTCCTAGCTACTCAGGAGGCTGAGATGGGAGAATTGCTTTTGCCTGGGAGATCGAAGTACAGAGAGCTACTATCTTATCACTACACTCCAGCCTGGGCAACAGATCAAGACCTTGTCTTTCAAAATTATGATAAAATAAATAAAAATGTAAAAAAGGAATCAAAGGAGGATAGTTGAAAATGCATTTTGAGGTTAGAGACTTAAATGAGAGGAAGCCCTCATCAGTTAGCTTCAATAGTGTCAGTGAAATTTGAAGTGAGACTTTTGCCAAAAAATAAGGGGAGCTTCTGAGATGCCATGAGACTGAAACATGTATGAAAAGGCATTCGAAGATTTAATGGTGAATTAGTCAGAGGTTTTCTGCGGTAAAAAGGCTGAGAGTCAGATTACTTAGGTCTGAGAATGTTGGCATAATCACCAGATGCCAGCTGATTTACCTATATCGTTTAAGTATTCTGAAATGGATTTATTACCCTGCTCCTCAGAAGTAGAAAGTGACTTCAATAAATTACTCAAATATGTAAAGCCGGCATGTGATGAAGCCAAGGTTAAGCTCAGGTGTGGTCGATACTGCGTAAACCCATGACCTCTCCTTGGCACTCAACCAGGTTGTATGTGCTGCCCTGACCTCCAGCTGTAAGCACCTGTGCCTTAGGTTAGCCACAGGCTTTCAGAGGACCCACCAACCAAAGAATTTGTCTTTAGTGAGGAATACTCTCTCTCAAGGTTTTCCATTATGATTTACCCAAATCCACATACCAGGACTCATTTGTTCTAAATTATAATTCTTGTATATTTGGGAGGCAGTGAATTATTACATTTGTGTATTATATTAACATGAAATACAGTTGTGTATAATCATGCATTCATTATATATTCATACATTATATTAAGCAGTAATATATATTGTAAAATACATAAAGAAAGAAAGTGAAGATGTAAAGTGAGTAAGCACCAATATTTCTGTGTTCTAATTCCTGGCACTGTGCCCTCTAGTTCCAATGTCTGTAACAGGTGTAGCAGGCAGATTCATGAGGCCATCCTCAGGTCATTGCCATAGTCAAGGTTCTTACTTGTCACTCAGTAGCTCAGTGAACCCATTGACAGTTTTCTTGAGCATATTTTTTTCCCCAAATGGGGAATCATTTTATCATGGTTTATTTTTTCTTTCTTTACAGTTGCAAAATGCCTTTTGGCCCACATGCCCAACTGAGGTATGACCCTGCTTCACACACTGAGGCTGTGACAGGGTGTGTTTGCACATTTGGGGCCCTACTTGACCCGACAGTTTACTTTGTCTCCTTTGGAAAAAATATAGAGCCTCATCTTATGAACTTTCCATTAGAAATGCTTCTGTTTCTGGTTTCTGTCCCTGAGACACAACTGATATGTTTGAGAATAAAGATATGTTTTATTAAATGTGCTGAAATACATGATCATGCATTATTTAAATTAGATAAGAAGCCTAGGTTTGTTTGATATGTATAATAAATGGAAAGACGAGGAAAAGATGACAGCTGGAGGCTTTGAAAAACATGGAGTCACCACAGTGTAGGGATAAGAGAATAAGAGACTATGAGTTGGGAGTTTGCAGCCTTTTGGGCCACCCCTCCTACAAGGGGATGTAAGCAAACCCTCTAGAATTCAAGGAATTAGCATTTGCAAGCATTTTATAAGAACTCAAGGATATTCCGATATAGGTGAAGGGGAGGAAGGCAGCAAATCACACTGCCACGTGTGTACCTATGTAACAATCTTGCATGTTCTTCACATGTACCCCAAAACCTAAAGTGCAATAAAAAAATAAAAAAAGAACTCAAGGGATTAGCACCTTACAGAAGTTAGAATAAATGGTTTTGAATTAGAATCTGGTAATCAGATGAATCAAAATAAATACACAAAAAGTGGTAAAAATATTGGTGATAAGTGATAATTATTTTTATATATAATATATAATTAAAACAACACTGGAATTATAGCTCTAGAATAGATAGTATTATCATTAATGATATATTACAAAATTTAAAATTTGGAGGATGGGAGACTGAAAATAGTGTAAGAGGAATAATTTTCTCATCTTTCAGAGCAGAGAGTCAGTAAATTTAAGTATACATATATACATAGTTATTCTAAATCTATTTTCATGTTTTTACAAATGTAGCGGAATCATTTTAGATAAGAACACATTGATGTTAAAGAAGTATTTAACGTTTACCATTGCTTGAGTTTCACTGTACTGCATTCTTATGTATTCAATTCAAAGATATATTAAATGAAATTGTGTCTGCTCCTTTCTAGAAGTATAACATCTGCAACAGTAATTTTCTTTAGATTTACAAAAGATCCAGACACACAAGATCCTCGTAGCCTTCCCTTGGCACCAGTCTGCAAAGAAAGCTGCAGGATAACTTCCAGCAGTGCAGTGTCAGAAGTCCTCTTACTGGGAGCCATAGAAGCTCTGCATGTATCATTTAAAACAGCCATGTAAGAACAAGCTGAGGTTCAAGAAAACCAACTCCACATTACGTGAATGCAAGGTATGCCCCAGTATATTATCCTCAGGCTCCACAGGAGTCCGTCTTTTTATGACAATCCCACAGGAATTGGTTCTAATGTTTCCTCAAAAATTAAGCCCAATTATGGATTACCACACTTAAGGAAGCTATAGGCTTACCATCAGATACTTTTGGTTTACTTGTAATTTCTCTGAGTCCTTCTACTAGGTAGTGTTTCCTAGTATCATAATTAACATCTCTCATGTTATCAGCTCAGAAGGATGTTACTCAAAAGCCAGATTCTCATGCAGAAAGGGAAAGGGCCATGACTTTTCCTCACACTCTATGCAGGAAAAGATACCTACAAGATAAGTATATAATGTTAAAGATGGCTATACTGAGTAATTTCTTCATGACATTCTTTTGTATTATATATCTTTATGTGCTTACAGTGAATTTGATCTATTTTTATCAAAAGGGCAAAGGCTTTGCCTAGTATATATTTGACACAGAGAATCCTTGTTTTCATCATTCCAGGAAAATTTTCTGAATTTTCTGGCTATGCCACTAGTGCAACAGGTGGAAATATTAGATGAGTTTTCAATGGGCAGACAAATAATATTTCCTGAAGATTTATTTATACCCAAAACATTCTAGACCCACAGATTTATAATTCATAGAGCTCTGAGTCTAACTAAAGGATCATGGGACTTAATTTAAATAAAAAAGAGGCCAAGGATTGGAGCTTGAGCTGCTGAAAGAGCAGGAATTCAGAGAACAAAGGAATAGTTCTTAAAGCTGACTTGGAAGAATGGTCAGTTAATTAGAAGGAAAGTTAGTGAGGTGAGGTTTTGGCTAAGGAAGTCCAAAAAATATATTTTTTCAGGGGAAAGGTATGCCTACCTTTGTCAAAGATAAAGCCTGGGAGTTGAACGTTGTATCATTTAGCAACAGGAATTTCACTCTCACCCTTACTAAGAGCCCTTGTCTTGGGATCTTAGGGGACGAAGCCCAATTTTTGATGTCAAAAAGACTGGATCATGAGTCTGGAAAATTTTTTAAAAATAGTTTTGTTTAAAGGGTAAAAGAAGGAACACAAAAGTGAAGTTCTATCAGGAGAATTGGCAAATGCCTAGCAATGTTTAGGAATTTTTAATGTATTATGCCAGAAATGGAATGTTCCATAGACAGAAAATAAGTAACCATAAGGAACAATTGAATAACACAACTAGTGATCTTTTTCTAAATGACAGACATGTATATGTACATTTTAAAAACAATGACTACATACACTGAGCTACTATCAAAATAACTATGCATTAAACTACATGAGAAATCACAGCAAATTCCTCACATTTTATATTAAGACCATAATTATTAACCACGGTTCAATGAAATTAGAAGATACAAATAAGCAACATACTGTAATTTAGAAAACATATTTCTATACAATTGAGGGGAATATGGAAAAATCAAACTAAAACATTGATAATAATTTGAATTGAATGGCAACAAAAACATGACATATGTAAATGTACATAAAGCAATACAAGGGGTTCAGAGCTTTAAATGTATCTACTGTAAATATAAGTGTTTTAAATAAATGAATGGAGTTTTCAACTTAGCAAACGATAGAAAACAAAACTAAACCTGAAAACTGAGATTAATCAAAACTAAAAATGAATGAATAAGAAATACTATAGAAATTACAAAATATAAATCCATCATCAATTAGCACTGGTTAATGAAGCCTAAAGAATTTCATTAAAAAGTTTGATAAATTAGTAAATATCAAAATATGATAATAGAGACAGACAGGGAAGCCATCAGGGGAATAAAGGAGAACATAGTGAAACATAAGTTTGAAAGTATAAGAAGGTTCAGTGTTGGGCTTCTCTGATTGCTACAAGTCTCAGCCAAATTACACGGGGACCCAAGAGAAGGCTTCAGCTTCTTCCTAGACCATTTTTCTCCAGGCAGTGATGTCAAAGCAGTAGAAAAGGTGACCAAGTTGAAATGCAGCTAAGTCATATTATCTGTTCTGATTTTGCTGAAATTTAGTAGAAGGAACAATATGTTAGCACTCTGCACATCCAGTGTATCCAAAAGCATATCTAAACTTTCTTGGTCCATTCATCTGCAAATGACACTTATGACTTGATTCTTTTCCTATGGTTAAAAACAAAAACCAAACCAAATAAAACATCTTTTAAAATGTCTCCTCAAATGCCTGCTATGATTTAGCACCACCTCTACATGCTATTTAGAGGGGCCTGGGCTAGTTTTTCTCATTATGGTGCCATTTCCATCACCATAAGGCGTGGGTGCTGTTGCTGGAGTGGGTGGTGGTTGCCACTCTTAGGAATGTGGCTCTGCTTGGCTAAACTCCCACTGTGCTTCTGACATTTCTCAATGCTGTGGCCCTAAGAGTGTAAACCACTCTTCAGTTCTGCCCTATGATTCCCTGTTCTGTTATCACTAGATAAGGTATCAGAGATCTTTACACTCTTGTCAGTAAATGGAATTACCTCACTCTATAAACTATCCCTGCAGTTCTTCCCTCATCATGTACCATGGGATGAATTCTTGCCCTGGCTTGATATCTACTCAATGGATTTAGGATTGGGGTCAAAGGGGACTTTTGCTTTATCCGTAATAATCATTTCATAATACAAATAATTTCATGCATTGTATTTGTAAGGTTAACTTAAATTACAAAAACTTGATGGATTTAAAAACTATATCTGGAAAACTGGAAATTCAGAACAAATGGATGTCAGTTTAAGTTTATGTTTATCTCTGTTTTAAAATGGACAAAAGTTTTCTTATCACCAAAGGGCAGGCAAATTTAAGTTCAGTTTTGGTTAAATATAATGTAAAATACTTGACATGTCAAAATGTCACAAATAGAAGTAGAATGACAATAGTTACTGTTAAAAAACACTAAGTCCCAGCTACTCCACAGACTGAGGCAGGAGACTCACTTAAGCCCAGGAGTTCAAAAGCAGCCTGGACAGTATAGTGAGACTCCGTCTCTTAACAAAAGCACTAATATTTAGCAAATAAATAATATTACTATTTCTATGTATATGTATTATAAATGTTAATGCTATGAATATTTATATAAAAATAATATTAGCAAACAATTTGAATATATAAATAGCTCTTATTATTGGTTTAGGAAACATTAATAGCCAAATAGAATTGAGAAAAGGCTCTAAAAGACAATTTATGGAAATAATATAAATTTCTGTCAAAATGTATTAGTTTGTTTTCACATTGCTATAAAGAACTGCCTGAGACTGGGTGATTTATTAAGAAAAAAAGTTTAATTTACTCACAGTTCCACATGGTAGGGGAGGCCTCAGGAAACTTATAACTTTGGTAGAAGGGGAAGCAGGCACATCTTACATGGCATCAGGTGAGAGAGAGAGAGAGTGTGTGAAGGTGGAACTGTCAAGCACCTATAAAACCGTGAGATCAGATGAGAACTCACTCATTGTCAGGAGAGTAGCATGGGTGACCTGCCCCCATGATAAAATCACCTCCTCCTTGTTCCCTCCCTCAACATGTGGGAATTATTATGAGAATTACAATTTGAGATGAGATTTGGGTGGGGACACAGAGCCAGAAAATATCACTGGGCCATGCAAGAAATCAAATATAATTAAAATTGGAAAAATTAAAAAATCAAACTAAATTGACAAACATTAAAACCATATAAAATCAATGCTTAAAAAGTATATAAGTAACTTCATCCTCTAATTGGGGGCATTCAAAATATAAAACCTTTCTTGACTGAATCTTTCTGATATCTCCTAATGTTTTATACAATTTTAATTGCAGGAATTTTAATAAAAAATCCAAAATACAGTAAACATTTATATATGATAATAATAATTCTATCATTTAAAAAACAAAAGGGGAATATGCTAAAAGTTCCACATTTATTTTTTCTAAAATTTTGAGCCCTCTGGTATTTTCTGGAGAAGAACAGGGATTAAAAATATTTGTTACTATTCACTTGAAGTTTAGAAAATAGTGGTGAAAATTGATATTTGTAAGTAATTCCACACATCGCTATATAATTATAAATCACATGTAAATAAAAATACATGGCACTTTGAGAGTATACTCAAGGAGGTAATTAGAAATGAACAGAAATTATCACATTCCCAAGACATTTGGAAAGAAAAAAATTAAAAGGTTTTTTTGTGCTAGACTAGTTATGGCAATGAGCAGGAGGGAAGCATCATAAATGACTTCTAACTTTCTGGTTTGCATGATTAACTGGATAGAAATGGCATTTATTGAAACAGAAAACCCTTAAAGTGCCTTTGATAAAAAGGTTTAGATCTCAGAGGTGAGCTGGGATGGAAATTTACATTTCATCATCCTGAGCACATAGAAGGAAGTAGAAGCATCCCTGTGGTTGCATGCAGATGAAAGGACCATAGAATAGAGAAGCACACTGAAATGATTGTAAATATTATAAATACTCGGAGAAGCCAAGAAAAAAAATACATCCACTCTAACATTTGAACAGGAACTAGAGATCAAATGGGTCTTGCTACATTAGTTTTTAAAACACAGTGGGCGTCAGGAGACAGCCACACTGAAGGTATGTGTAGACTTGACATTGGCTGAGGCCTATTTTGTGACCTCTGCTGAGATAAGAGTATACAGCCCAACCTTGGGCAATATATCAATAGTTAAGAATGTTTTATTGTGAAAACTGAAAATGTATACTAATTAAAATCATTTTAAAATACATTCAGAGATATAATTTAAGTAACTTCTCAAATTCCCAGCCAGCTTGTAGCCTTAGTAATGTTGTTGATATTTCTTCTCACATAATCGGAACTGTATAAAATATTAACTGATAATCTCAAAGCACAAGAAGGCAATTGACTTACCTTGTGTGTAGTACTGCTGTATACCAGATGTGCAGCTCTTTCTCACCTATTTTCTTGAATGCCTCAATCCCTAAATGTCCTGATTTCTGTCATCTGCCTCTAAAAA